TTTTTTTTTTTTTGCTTTTCTATTTTCTTGCCAATATTTTTATTTTGTTCCATTTTTCTTTTTGAAATTAACAAAAAAGTTAAGTTAATGTCAATTTACTTAGTTTCTTAACATATGCTTTTTTCATTCTGTATATAAATGCGAGCAGACACAAAAATTTATTGGTAATGGACCCCGAATTCTATGGAACAACAATTTGACGAAGGTAGACAATTTTTATGGAACAGCAGCAGCAGCAGCAACAACAACAACAACAACAAAACTGAGGTCAAAATGAATGAATTACCAAAGATCAAAAAAATTTTTTCCGGCTTTTGTATTGTTTTGTTTTTTTGTTTTTTTTTTTTTTATTGTTTTCTTTTTTTTTTTATTTCACATTATCAGTACACTGAAAAGGTGTGATGATGAAGATGACGATGATGATGTTGTCAAAAATCTAGACAGATTTTTGGCTGAAAAAAGATGATCAGTGAAAAACAGGTGGAACAGAAACGATGTTGAACAGTAATGAAGCCAAGGACAACCTGTAAAAAAAAATAAAAGAAAAAAGTTTACGTTCTAATTAACTTCAAAAAATTTCTACAATATTTATTCTTCCAAAATTTATTCTATCATTTCTTTTTGTCAACATTAACTTCTCTTTCGTTGTATAGCTTCTTGTAAACATTTGCCCTGTTTAATTTGTGTTTAAAATTCTCTGAAATAAAAACTTGATAGCATTTTTAAAAACAATTTTCACTCCTAATTTCTTTTTTTTTTTTCTTCTGCGAACACTAAAAACAGTGTAAAAACAGTCTGTTACAGTGTAAAAACAAACAAATCGGTTGTATTAATCCAAAAAAAGAAACATTTTTTAATTAATTAATCATTCTTTTTCTTCTCTGTCAGCTCTTCTGCAAGGTAAAGTGTTATTTTATTTATGTATAGTTCTATGTATAAGTCTATTTATAAGTCTGTTGTTGTTGTTGTTTTTGGAAGCTAATTAAGTACAATCGAAAAAGTACGTTGTGGTTCAGTGGTAAAGAGCAATGATGTTCGAACAGTGCATAGACAACAGACAGAAATGTCAGTTTGAAAGTTCATTTGCTTTTTTTTTTTT